AAGAGCCCAAGAACGTATGGGTCCTACAACACCTATGAGTCAACAAGGGCTCCATGTGTTTGAAGGGTTAGAAATTAGATTATGGATGGCTGAACCATGCTTGATGGCTAGAAGATTTCCCAAAAATTTTCTAACACAAATCGAGAATCGCTTTTTCGGTGATTTTGAAATCTAAAATTTTTGAATCAATCTTGCATTGAATCGGATCAGATTTGAAATGAAAATAAAAATTGATCATGCTTAATACAGAGTCCAAAAATCACAGATCTTAGAGTGGAAGTTAACGCCCAATATTAATCCCAAAACTGTTCTCCAACTAAAGATGGCATAGTGTGTATGAGAAGCCAATTCAGCAACATCGTTTCAACAAAACTGCTATCCAACTTGCTTGGATTGAATGGTATTTGTGAGTCTGATTTCCCTAATGTTTTTCTAGAAAAAAAAAGTGAAAAACTGATAAAGTTCAGTTCTTGCAATGGCTAGGTCATGGTAGGGTTTCTAGGAGGCAAGGGAAAAGATGAGAGAATAAGAGAGTAGAGAATTAACTAATTTAAGCTCTCCCATCTTTCTCCTTTATATAGAGCACTCTTCTAACCTAACTAAGAGTTGATCCAAATATTTGGATCAAAACTCTATCATTAATTGATAAGAATTATCCTCTTAAGAGGATAGGTGCTCCATGCCCAGTTTTGACCCAATAAGTTGTCATGTGATATCTTAACTAATCACATTAGGCCCATTATCTCTAATGGCTCACGTCCCTAAGTGTTGCATGGCCACTTTGGGCCTAAATATTGTATGGCATGGGACTCCACAAAGGTCTAACACAAGTCCATAAAGGTTTGGCCCTATCTTGAAAGAGGTTAGGCTCAATTCATTGCTTAGAACAATGAACCACTGACTCAGTCAACTCGGGTTCAGTTTGGACTCAACATTTACAACTAAATGATCATTGGATTCAACCACCCTATGAAGACCCAAGGATAATGGACTTATGTAAGATACAGTCCATTAGGTAAACAACCCTGAAATGGTTTCTTACACTTTAACCTCTCATCTCATAATCATCAAAACTCTGCCCACAGGGAAGGACCTCTCCCCTAACTACAAAATGTAGTGTCACACTCTCTGCTCGAATGGGTCCTGGGATTAAAACCTTTTGCAAACATTTTTCATAAAATAACATAATATAATAATACAAATATATTTTGCAAATCAGATTTCAAATATAGTTAAAATCCACTACCAGCAATTTAGGATTCCATCAGAGTCTAAAGTCTGATATTCACTTTCTCTAACAAAGGGGTCAATCCTATCACTATGATCACCTACCCAAGTAATTTCCCAAACTACCTCAACTTGCCCATGTATTTAACCCTTGATGGATCTCACTGGTTAGCACATCAAAGGCAGTTCAATCCAATTCCTAGTGTAGTATCATAATCAAGTCTACGATTAAGTGCAATTTTTCAATTTTGCCTATCTATCTCCAATGTCTAGGGCATAACTAGAAATTGGTCTAGGTTCAGTGCTTCTTATAAACACCCTCTAGGCTCTATCTGTGCTTGGGATCTAACCTAAGCGGCTAAGAAAAGTTACTCCAATTATTTGGTAGCACACTAGTGTCAATCTTATCAGGATAGACTCCCCAAATCTATCCAATGGCTAAGAACATTCTAAAATAACACGAGTCTCTTAAGTATCTAGTTTAAGGAATAATTCACAAAAAACATACCAATATGAACATGAAACAATAATTTACTTTATTCATTTACTAATAAATATTTATATACATCAATATTAGAGCTAAGGGCATACACTATCTAAGACCATGTACTCAACCTCTCATTTCTTAGTCATTCTCTTAAAACAATCCATAGCCAAAAGGAAACTAGCAAACCGAAGGCACTTACAAAACATACCAAGCATCACCCATCACATTGAGAGGCTCATATCGACCCACATTTTTTTACCAAGTACATAGAACCATTAATCACATTAGGAACCTCCCATCGCATGACTGATCTCACTAATTATAGGTCCTGCTCACAAAATTTCATGTTTCACATTCAACCAATGCATCACACCTTTGCTTACTAATACAATTACTTCTACGAGTAAGCACGTGGTTTAAAATAAGGAAGGTAAACCTTGAAATGACTAAACTCATTGTCAAAAACTCTTGTGTATCAATACAAATACTTCTATCAATAAACAAGGGGCTAATATAAATGTACAAATTTAGATATCACACTAACTGTGATTACTGACATGCCACAAGGCCATGTAGTCAACCATCACATAACAATAGCTACACAATGAGATAATAGCACAGTAGTTAGACCTGTTCATGGGCCGGGTAGCCCGATGGCCCAACCCGGCCTGGCCTCGGACGGGCATGTACATATTATTAGACCTGCAGACCCAAGCTCGGGCCCAATGTTCTAAGCTTGACCTAATTTTGGGCTGGGCTCAAGATTTTATATGAAAGCCCAGTCCAACAATATATAATATTAATATTTTTATTTTGTAAATCTAACCCTAATTCCAAATTTCCAATCGATACTCCCTCCCCCCAACCTTTCGATAGCTCCCTTGAGTCCCCTCATTCCTCTACCCTTCTACGCAGTCGGCGAACATCTACTGAAGCAAACCCTAGCAGCGACAACCGAAGCAAACACCTGAGTCCCCTCCTCATCTCAAACCTTCTACACAGCTGGTGGGAATGAAAACAGGGCGGGTTTGGGGCGGGGATCATATTCCCTGTCCCCAACCCCGATTATAAAAGTAACCCCTGTCCCCATCCTCGATCCCCGCCAGGGATAAAATTTATCCTCCATCCCTGATCCCCGACGGGGATGGGTTCCCCGCGGGGACCCAAATCCCCGAAATTTTTTTTAGATAATAGTATTTATTTGAAAAATAAATAAAAAATTAAATTATAAATAATTTTTAAATATGTTTTGATATATATATATATATATATATACATATACAATTGGGGTCGAGGTGGGGCAGGGACCTCAATCCCCATCCCCGACCCCAACCCCGATCAGGGTTCCTATTAATCCCCGTCCCCGCCTTACCAAAACAATCCCCATCCCCAACCCCATCGGGTCGGGGAAATCGGGTCCCCGCAGGAGATGGGGAAAATTGCCATCCTTAGCAGCTAGTGAGTATCTAATGGAGCAAACCCCAGCAACGGCGACCAGAGCAAACCCCAACAGCGGCGACCAAAGTAAACCCCTAAGTCCCCTCCTCATTCCCTCATTCCTTAACAGCGACGACTGGAGCAAACCCCAGCTCTCACATCCTCCATTACCGATATTGAGCAACTAGGATCGACGATGAGTGACTGCACCCCAAACTGATGGTAAAGCCTTTTTTGAATAGGCTTTGTTTCTGTTCTCTCCCACTACTTCCTGTAGAAGATGAAAATTAGTGGGTTTCAATCTACATCAGTCTATCAGATCAGTATCGAAGCAACAAAAACCAATATAGCCAGAGGTTTCTAGTTTGGGTTGTTAATCACTTTGCTTGCTCAATTTATTTTATTTTCGTACTTTTTCTTTGTACATGTTACAGCTAGAGTGTGATGTATCGAAGTCATTTTGATTGTTTATTCATTTTATATCTGAACTTTTTGGTTTCTTTGTACATGTTCATTTCTTTGTGAAGACTTATGAAGATTTATTTTCTGTGGTTTTACCAGTGAATAAACACGTCTTTGAGTGTGATGTACTGAAGTCATTTTGTTTATCCAAAATTACAGTTGCTGCTCATTTTATTTGATTTTAGTTAGCTTGAAATCATTTTATTTGCTGCTCATTTCGGGCTTCGGGGTTGAGCTCGGGCCTCGGGCTTTTTTGAGAGCTGGGCTCAGGCCTAAAGATTTTACATTGACACCATGTGAAAGCTCGGCCAGAGCTCGGCCTGACCCAGCCCATGAACGGGTCTAATAGTAGTGCAGTCTATAATAATTGTTTATTATCCCTATCACAGGGAAATCTCATGATAATACACAGCACTGCAAATCCTTATCGCAATCTTCATCTACCTAGTAATTAGCTACTCATCGCATAGATCATCATAACCCTAACATATCCGTTGCACATACATAATCTCCCCATCACAATCCCCTTGGCAGATCCCACATTATGGTAGCAACTCTATGGTGTCTGTATCCATATTGTAGCACGAATGTCATAGTCCCACATCGTGACTTCACCATAATTCTACATTGTTCATCGCAAATGCTATTCAACACAAGCATTCTTAGGGCCATGCTTCTCCAACGCACCCACCTAAGAATACAAAAAGGAGTAATTGCACCCATGCCCACGTGCGAACATCCAAAAAGAATGGGATCTCAAGTACCGTTCTGATCACATCAACTTTCCCTAAGCAGGAAAATTTCTCCTAGAAAATCTATAAATAGGGGATCTATGAGAGGAGAGGTCCCCTCACACGTTCATAACCAAGCCTTAAATTAGCTTTGCATCTCTTAAGGCCAATACCTCTCTATACTCCCAACCTTCTCCCTGTTCTCATATTTCCGCATTGAAAAACCCTTCTCTTACAACTTCTCAACTTACCAAAATCTCCTTCAAGACCATCTACGATCACCATTGTGCCTTTACCTGACTTAGGCTGCATTTGGCATTCCTTATTTTAAGGACTAATCTCCTTTTTTATGAAAGTTTTTAACTGCAAAAAGGAGATGAATCCTGAATGTCAAATGCAGCCCTAGTATGCCTACCCCATGAAACTCTATTTGAAATTTTAAATCACCACATTCTGGATGCTTTGGATAAATATATATAAGAATCCACCCTCGGGCTCATTTTCATTTTTTCAAGCCCAATTCCGCATATAGCGATCTAAGAAAAATAACATCCGTGATAATGTTTTAAACTTTTACTTAACCCAATGTAGTCTATCAATTGTGACACTGTCGTCCATTGGATTGGATAGAATTGGATGGTAAAGCAAACAAGAAATGGCTCAGGTAATTTTCAAGGAATCTATTTAACATTATCCGATAGAAGAAGAAATTACAAAGCGAAGAGAACCAACAAAAAGAAACAGAACCGTATACTTCTAGTATAGGTAAATCAACATCTCGTCGCATATATCCACATGTCAAAAGCAGAAATCAAATAAATATGAAAAATCTAGACACCAGTGCAACCAAACAGAAAATCCCAAAAATAACAAAAAAAAAGAGTTAACAGCATATCACCCAAAATGTCAATGGTAGTACATCAGCTGCTGACTGGATGAATTGTTAGCATAACCATCATACATGGTTTGGGATCCAACAGAGCTCAATCCCATTGAAGCCGCTGCAGCAAGGCCCTGCTGACCTGCCATTTGCATAAGAGCCTGTCCCGAGAGTCCAGATCCAGCAGTCTGGCTCATGGCAAGCTGGCGCTGGTAGGCCAACAACTCGGCTGCAGAATAGCCCTGATTCATCCCAGGAGTCGGGAGTATCTGAAAGGGAGGGACTGGAGGGGGCAGTGGATTTGAAACAGTTCCTGGAGGGGTGGGCTTACTACCCCACGAACACTGTAAACAAACAAATCCAAAAGCACGTCTTAGGCATGAACAATGCTACAGTCTACAGAAAGTATGTTTTATGATTTTACACAAGGGTCTCAATTAAAGCTGTTCCACCAATCATCATCATATTGATGCAGGTATTTGTCGAGCGAAACCTCAATAAAATACTTATATAGAATCCCAGCTATTACAAGGGCTATTTCTTGGGCAGTAGGCAGTTTGGCAATCCCTTGAGATAAAATCAATGGCCAGGAATATTAGCCAGACCTGATAGGATAACTGCACTGCAACCATCACATCTAGGCGCAAGGTTGAAATTAAATTTAAGCTTCGCAATATACTTTACCTTTGAAAAAAAAAAAAAAAACTTCGACCTAGAGGATTCCTTCCCCACTCCCACTCAAAATACGAAATAAAAAATGTCATACTGGCTCCAAATTCAATCGCATGGCAGGTACCCAAACTCCAAAGAGATTTATAAAAGGGCATGACGGAAACTTCGTAGTTAACATGACAAGGCAGTGGTTCTGTTGTTTCAGCCTTCCTCCGGGATGCACCGAGTAGTCAGTGCCAAGTTTTGAGTCAACTGATCAACTTGTTGATGCTCTAATATAAAAACGGTTTACAGCAAGGATGCTAAAATTATTGCATTGTTATGCAACTGCTGGAATAACCATATTCTTTTCATTTGTACTGATAGAACAGACGTATCCTCCCTACAAATATTTACAGTTCCAGCAGTGTGTCTTTGCTGTAGAACATTGTGGTATATTTCAATAAAGCCCACCAAAAAAGATGCCAAACTACAGTTAGGATCAACGACATTTCGTGGTAGAACAGACTTTTTTTTATTCCTGTAATCCCACACAAAAAGATCCTAATTTCATGGCACCTATGGTTAGTTTATACCATCTGACCATCATGCCCTAACCTATTGTCGTGCTTTGTATTAAATGAGGGCAACCAATGCGGTCCATGAAAGGAAAGAGGGAAAGCAAGAGTTTATCTGGTAATGATATCTTACCTTCATGGATTTTCCACATACAATCCTCCCATTAGCCATTTGAATGGCCAAAGCTGCTTCTTCATGAGTGTGGTACCTGACAAAACCAAACCCCTTTTCCCTCTGGATGCGCACCTCTTCAATAACCCCAGCTCCAAGGGCATGGAACTGACGATGAAGTTCCGCTTGTGTCACCTGGCAAGGAATGTGATTATAAGGTTCATGTGTCTTGTGATATGAGGAATTGGCGTGAAGTGCAAATAGTTGTTCAAAAAAGAAACCAGACCCTCTTGTTGGTCACCTCCTAATGAAGATGTTATCAAACTAAATATTGATGCAAGCAGCTAGAGGAATCAGAGTCCTTTTGAAGTAGGCAGTGTTTCTAGAAATAAAGGTCATGTTGCTTTTTCTTCAGGACCAGTGGGTATGGGGGACTCGATCAGGGCTGAATTTCTTATGGTCATTCAAGGGGTGCAAATAGCAAAAGATTTAAACACAGACAGTTGATTGTTGGACACTCCAAGCTAGTAGTGGGATGGCTTAGGAAGCTGAAATCTGTATTTTGGGTGACTGGATTTACAGGGATGAAATAAAAAGCTTAAATGGTTAACCAGCAGCATGACTTTTGAGGATACAAGGGGTAAGAAGTTCGGCTAATGGGATGGCTGATACTTTAGCCAAGCAAGAGGTTAATATGGATATGGGAGAAGAGAACCTATAGTGATGTTATTATCATTGAAAAATAATGCTAACATAGACATATGGGAGAAGACTAGATATTTGGTATCAGACTAAATACCTCGTGAGCAAGATTGCCAACATAGACAGTAGTATATGCTGGATTATTTTCTGGTGCCTCCTCATTGGTATTCTCTGGACCTCCATCTGCATTGTTTTTGGGGGGTGGGGGGAGATAAAAAGTAGCTCAGCACACCAAACTCGCATGAAGGTCATATTCATTCTGTTATTTGCATTGTAAGAAGTCTTAAGACACTGCTCAAGAAGATGCTCCAATCATTGTACTAAATGTTTTAAAATGTAACCGGCATATGAGTGCCACTTCTACAAGAGAAGCCTAGAGCCAGATGCCTAAGACTATTTTGAGCCCACAAATACATGCAATTGTGTCATTGATTATTGTATATAGTTGATACTTTAATTTAATCAGTGTTTTAAAAGCAGGAGGCACAATAAAAGTACAAGGGCCTTCCGGTGCCTGAGGCACAAGGCAAGGTGTGTGCCCAGATGAAGCAAGGTGCAACTTTTTGAAAAAAAATATAATAATATATGAAAAATACGGAAACCTGAACAAAAAAAAAATGTTTTAAAAATCTTATTAGCTCAAACCAAAATACGTAAGCATATAAATATAAAACAAATTCAAAGTGAAAGTGAAAGAAAAAAGATGTGGATCATGTTGAAAGTGCTTCAACCACTCAACAATTCAAGAATGTGAAATTCTTAATATATCTCCTAGTGCACAAGCACCAATGAAAAGGTAAATAAGAAGTTTTGGTCTATATAAGGGAGTTGGTTTGTGATTTTGATCGCAATTCATTCTATTTTAGAGTTTGCTATCTGATATCTTGACGGCATCAAAAAGGCTTCATGCATTCAAAAGGTCTTTGTTTTCTGCTTAGTTCATAGACGATAAGAGTGCAACAAGCAGTGCAAGGCAACACAGGCACACACCTTTTACCTATTGAATGGGGCATCACTTAGGTTCAACCACGGTGCATGCCTTGAAACATGCCTTACTTGTGCACTAAACACTGGTGCTAGTCAACCATTTGAAACTAGTTATCATCACCATGGTGAAGTAATGACTAGATTTGGCATCTCTAGTCAATTGCCAGGCACTTACTAGTTGACCAGAAAAATAAAAAAATAAAAAATAAAAGATGATGATCATCATTATCATCATTTAAGCCTCAGCTTAGCTATATGGGGTCACCTACATGAATCCTGTTTCACCATTCCATTCCATTAAGACCAGAAAAAAAAAGGTATTTCTGAACTTAAGATATTGATGCCATTGCATAAAAAGGTTTATGTTGCAAATATGCAATAGAAGAATGATATTGTACATTTAGTTTGCATTGTTTGGTTAACATAAAAAGTTAGACCACACAGGCAAGGATAGGGAGTTATGCCTTTGTTTATTCAAGAAAAGAGTGAAACCTTTGACCATTTGATGTACCGCCCCTTATTTGTGGCAATTCCATATCAATACATCACCAATCGGAGAAATTAAAAGAACCTATATACTTTTATCTTTATGTTTTTTTCTATTTAATAAATTATCAGGAATTGTATTCCAATAATCCCATCACAAGTACTTGAACAAAGTTTGAAGTATTGATACTCTTGACAATTTTTTTTTTTTTTGATCAATGATACTCTTGACAAATTGCATGTTTCATTTTTTTTATTTGACAATTTGTCAGGGGTTATCATGTGACCTCTGTTATAGGTTAAGGCCAATGAAATAGCCTAACTCCAAGGAAATAGTGTATTGATGAGGTCAAAATTTTATATGAATTGTATATATAAACGAGTTGGGATCACCAGCCAACAAAATACATTCCAACAACCTACCAACTGATCTCACAACACACATCTCATACATGGTGGGTCCAAGTATCATGATGAGATGTGTGGTGTTAGATCAAGTTGGCAGAGGGTTGGAATGTGTTTTGTTGGCAGAAGATCTCAACTCTGTATAAACAATAAAAATACATATCATGTTATTTTAAATAATTAAAGATAAAGACAAACAAAATACTTGAAGTTACAGCAGGGGGTGATAAGTCATCTGGTGTCCTCTTTGTTCTTTTCTTTTCTTTTTTTTTTTTGATAAGTAAAAATAAAAATTTTATTAAAGGGAAAAAGAAGTTACAGCAAGGGGTGATAAGTCATCACCCGAATACAAAGATCAAAATTCAGATTAGAGAGCATTCTCCACAATACATACCTGAAAATCCAGGATTACTCTGGAAGAATCAGCAACCAGTCTTTTTTTTGGTAAGTAAAAACATAAAATTTTATTAATAAGAAAAACAGATACAAGCTGTTCAGGTGTCAAGATGACACCTAACTCAAAGCAAAACATACATCAAGAGCTTCAGTTCAGACTGAACTGATTCATATTACAACTTTGAATTTCCAAGGAATTCCAAAAATTATCTGCAAAGTCTGAGGGACTAGATTGCTCAAATTCTGGAAGACACATAACCCAGCTGGTGATGAGTTTGCTAACCGAAGCCACAATCTCTTCAGTATTCCTTTCCTTCAAATAGCCTCCTATTTCTCCCCCCCCCCAACCCAACAGAACCCAGTGCAAAAAGAATGTATCTTCACCAGTCTATCACTGATCTGCCCACAACAGCAACCATCTCGTCCATGTTGCAGGCTTTATCTTCGAAGATCCTTCTGTTCCTCTCCTTCCAAATGTTCCAGCAGATTGCAAATGGGATACAACAACATAGCAACTTTACCTTCACACTCCCCCTCAGCCTGGGCCAAGTGGAGAAAATCTCTGCTGTTGAAGTTGGGTGGAAGCCTGAGACCCCAAACATAGATGTGAACACTTCCATAAGAAACTTGAGAACTTACAAGATATGAATAAGTGAGTAGCATCCTCTTCCTGCCCCTCACATAGACAGCATCTGTTAGCCATGCTAAAACCTCTAGATTTCAGATGATCAACTGTCAATACACTGTCCAAGGCTACCAGCCATGGCTACCCAAATCCTACAATACCACCATACCCCTTGACATACCCAGTGCATCCAGTTCAGACCACTCTCCTCTGTCTGACCCCCAAATCTCATTCATCATCCTTAAATCAAAATGCTCCAGCTTAGTTTCCTGTATCAGAACCACATCAGGACTATGCTTCCTTAACAGAATCCTAAACAACCATGGCTACTCGAATCCCACAATACCACCATACCCCCTGACAGACCCAGTGTCCAGCTCAAGGTTCAAAATATCGTTACGTATCGGCCAATATGTGTCATATCGGGGCCTTCCTGATATGCCCCTACAGGGGGTGTATCGGGTCAGGCCATGGTTCAGAGGGTAGTTGGGACTTAAACTGACCCCTCTGAACTGGTTTTGTAAAAATAAATAAATAAATAAATAAATAAAACATAAAAAAAGCACCAATACAGCTATCGATATTTAGAACCTTGATCCAGCTCAGACCACTCTCCTCTGTCTGACCCCCAAATCTCGTTCATCATCCTTAAATCAAAATGCTCCAGCTTAGTTTCCTGTATCAGAACCACATCAGGACTATGTTTCCTTGACAGATTCCTAACCACTTCTCTCCTCTTCCCATCTTTCAACCCCCTTACATTCCAGGATAACAGCTTCATTCCCCAGAACTCCCCCC